CATTAATAAATAATTTTCCAGTTCATTTTCCATAATATAACCAAACACTGGAAAGTGTTTTCCAGTTCATTTTCTATTATACTACCAAATATCAGAAAATACTTTTCTGGAATTCACTTTCTTGAAATTCACTGTCCTCGGAATTTACTTTCCAAAAACACACTACTTTTCTGCAAACAAACGGGGCCTTATACTTCACCCTTTTTTTTTTAAGAATAAGAATATAATAAATTAGAATTAGGTTAGAAATTAAAAATTTTAACTTTCAATTAAATCAAGATTTTGAATATATATTTATTTATATTTAAAAAACATTATTTGAATATATATTTTTAAATAAAAAATATTTAAAAAAATAAATATTATTTTAATATATTTAAACGTAATTCATATCATTTTCATTATTGTACTGGAGGTTGAAATTCACTATTGAGAAGGGATTATGAAATTGGTTAAAGTTATAATAGAGATAACAATTGGATAATTACTAAGTGAAATTAAATGCAGGAAAGGTATATTTTTATTTTTTTCTATTAAATAATATATACCAAGTAAAAAACATGTATAAAATTTCAAAGTATGGAAATGCTTCTAGAAAATAATTATAATAAATCAAATTTGTATGTTAGTATAAAAGCTTCTAAAAAATATTTTTCTTCACTTAATTATGCTTAACACCAAAGCCATGAATTTTATCATTATATGATGAACTTCTAATATGTCTTTCTGTAAACTTGAACACTTCATTTAACATTTTCAAATCAAATAGACGGGTAAAGGAGGGAACTTTTCAATTACTCCTTTCAAAAACTTGTTTGATTGATATGTTTATGGGTGATTTATGGGTAAGAATCATCAATAACAATTAAAAAATATAGTTTCCTCTACATGTTTTAATATAAAGGACTTGTTATGTTTCAGATCAAGATAGATTGTCATGAATACTCCAACCAGATAACATGTTATATTCTAGAAAGTCACTAATGATCCATACCACCTTTAATTGAAAATTTTTCTTTCCATATATATCATATGTTTCAACACCAATATACCACAAATTATTTAACTCATCAATCAAAGGTCTTAGAAAAACATCAAGCTTCTTCCCCGAATTTTTTCACCTAGGAATCATTATTGCCAAAAACATAAATAGTTTAGTCATGCACTTCCACAGAGACAAATTATAAATAGTCATAATTATTGGTTAACAAGAGTATGCATTTGAAGACATGTCAAATGGACAAAACCCATCAGTACATAAACATAACCGAATATTTCTCAAATCTAACGCAAAGCTTAAGTGGACATGATTAAACTCCTTCCTATCAGATGGGTGTACTAGAGCTCCATTATCTGAATTATAAAAATGATGTCATGTCATCAGATGGGTGTACTAGAGCTCTATTATCTGAATTATAAAAATGATGTCATGTCATATTTTTGACATGATATAGAGACATGAATAGTCTCTGAAGCTTTCATGTCAAGGGAAAGTATCTGAGTTGCTTCTTCACCTTATTAGAACCTTTACTAGTTGAATTTGTAGGTTTTTTATCATGAATTTCCATAAAATTCACAAATTATTTTCATTGCATCTGCCGCATAGTACAACATGCAATAATTAGAACACACATCATATTTCTCATAAGCAAGTCCAAGTGACTATATAAATTTCTTGGCATCATAAAAATTTGATACCAAATTTTCACATTAGGCATTCAACTTTTTGTAAAATCAATAAATTTATTGAAGGTAGTTTGAGTCAAATTTAAAGTTGACTTTATATTAAGTAATTGTATATAAGTAGATAATTTGGATTGCTTGGTATACCCATCCTACAAAGGCTCCTTTGTATCTTTCAAAAGTTTATGAAAAAAGTTGTTTCCAGATTTGGAAGTTCCTCTGTTATCACATGACTTGACACGTTATCATTAAAGTATGCATCACCAACCCCTATTGCATCCATAACCAAATTTCTATATAAATTTTCTAGACAAACATCATTCACAACATGATTAATTACAATCGATGAAGGTCCAACTAATATTCGTTATGTGACACAAGACTCTCTATGTAAAGTCCAATTTTCATAACAAGATAAAAAAACCTTTTTATCAATAAGTGCTTACAAGCATAATTTTTCTTTAAAAAACTTTTGATTTTTGCATCTCATATAAGGACATTTAATTTTCCCCTAGATACATTTTTATCAATTGAAAACAAAAAATTGATAAATCTTCTAACACTTATAATATATTCAGGACGAAGACGGCTATCCATAAGACGATGATACATCCACAATCGATCATCCATATTAATTTAATGAATATGATAACACCAATAAGCATTTTAGAAACAAATATTTTAGAGTGTGATTTAATTTAATATTTTTCTTAATCTAAAAGTTAAACATTATGTAATAAATCATCAAAAAAACTTCATTAATTACTAGGATATATTTTTTAGGTATTTCTTACATACTTAAATTAACCCCAATTATGTATTATTTATAAATAATTTTTTTCATCAACAATACACAGTACTCCTAAGGAGGTAGAACTCGAATAAACTTTCTTGTTGATTGATTAATATTTAAAAATATATTTTTACCAAGATTTTATAATAACAAGTCTAATAATATAAGATAATTTTAATTTATGATAAATGTTCATTTCAAATGTAGGCATATTTCACAATTCAAAGGATTGATTGATTTATTTAACTATTGAAAGTGAAAGGATAAAAAAATGACTAAATTTAGAAAAGATATGCTTATTTAATTCAAACTAAAACATCATTCAATCACTGGGTTATATTTAAAGATATAGATCTTGGATTTTAGTTTGGTTTATATGTCTAAAAAATTAAGACATATGCCTAAAACATTTATGAGAGTCCAAAACTCAATTCAGTTGTTTAGAAGTCCAAATTTTAGCATTAAAAGAGAAGTCTGAATCTGTCCTACAACCCAAACATTGTTCAATATTCAGCCCATATCTCGAATTCTAGAAGTCCAAATGAACTTCTTTTTTTGTTGGAAAACTGAGACAAATACTCAGAATTTTTATAAAGACTATATGTTCAAATTCTAATGTCAGCAATGACATTTTGTTTACACAAAAAGATAAAGGTTGTCCACAAGTCAAGAGGTAGTCACCCACTCAATAAGGGTTGTCCACAAGTCAGGAGGTGGTCACCCACTCAATAATTAGTCATCAAATCAATAATTCTAAATTTTAGCTTATAAAAAAAAGGTATTTTTCATATATTTAGACATCTTCATTTTTAAATCAAGATCATTTCTTTACTTGCTTTCTTTCTTTATAGTTTTAATGTTCTAGTTTTATTTCATGTTATAATTTCATTAATATCTTATTTATACTTTTTATTTCCTTTACTATACTTATATAATTATGTTCTCATCTTGTTTATTTATGTTTCTCTTCTTCATAATATTTAGTTAAGTTTAATATGTCAAGATGAAAATGTTTCACTAATGGTGTTAGAATAAGTATAATATAAACT